TCGATGCAACTTTGCTTGTTAATGCCAAAAAAAAAAAAAAACCTCCTGCTGATGTTTTAATACTCGGAGCCAAAGAGTGTTTCGTCTTATATTCGCTCTGCTGGATATAACTCCAGTGCGCCTGCTGTTTACCCTCTTGTGTAAGTAAAAGAAACTGAACATTTTGTACCCTCTGTCGGAGATATAAACACTTTCACACGACCGCCTTGGTGGCCACTCTGCTGACATTTACCCGTGACATTTGACATTCTCAGACTCCGTCTTCCCCACAACCCAAAAGAAAGAAATGCAACCGAAGTTTAGAAATAGAGATATAACCTTTTCCTAAACAGTTTTATCTAGTGGCAGCGTCGCTGTATGAAAACGTGTTAAAGATCTTGTCTGTTCCGTTTAGCCAAATCTTCGATGCATATGTTTGATCGTATTTGTTTCCTAAACTCTCATTTTCCACCCGTTTATTTTCCGGTTAGTATCAACTGGTGTGGAAAGTGTGAGATGTGACAAACACTCAGAGTGAGCGTGAAACTAGAGTTGTTGCACTTTCGTAAATGTGAATATTGTTGATGAAATTTCAACTCCACTAGATTTACAGGTAAGAAATTTGAAACAACATGATTGAAGCGTTGAGATAAAATGAAAATTATTTTACCAAGAGAGCGTTGATCAATCATAAGAATAGAAACTCAGTGGTATAGTCAGGATCCATATGATCTCTGTGAACATCTGTGCAAGATACTTTAGTCTCCTGGGGACTAAAATTGTCCAAGTGCCTTTATCTAATTAGTCATCTGGCCACAAATGATACAAGAGACTAAGGATTCAGGGAAGTAATAATCCATGGGACATGAAGTACGCCCATATATGACGTTGGATCAATTTGGATTTCATGATTGTACTGACCAAAGAGTTGCACACAAGCCCAAAATAATCCCTAGAAATCCATCTTTGACTGCAGTAAAATCATAAACATTATGATTGTGTACAAGAACTTCTAGAGATACTGTCTTCACCAGAAAAAAAAACTGTCCTCGAAGTAGCAAAGACCAAAGTAGTGTGATGTTTTTGACGCTTCAAAAAGCCTTTGGTCTCAGGTGGTGTTCACATCTTGTGGGGAAAAAAAAAAAAAACCCAACGAGTCGTCCGAATCACATGACTCAAAAATATCTCATTTCCTTCCAGAAAGAGACATTTTTGTGATCAGACGCCGCTGTTGGCAGGAGGCCAACGTTTGTTAGCGCCTTTCAAAAGTCTTACAGAAAAAAATCCTGTTTTCCTGAACAGACACAGCTGCAGTTAAGGTTTGGTTAGGCTCAGGCACAGAAATGGAGAGTGGAGATGTTGCCGGCCGGTAGGATACAGAACAAAGTCGGTAGATGTGATTAAAGTTGGAAGATACATTCATAAGGTGTGTTTTTGAATTTTTCTATAGAAAAGCATTTTCACGGTGAAATGCAAACCTTCAAATTCAGGTACCGAGTTTGTCCTTCATGTCATCCAGTTATGGTTAGCGACGTTGACTTCATAGTCTTTGCAAAAGTCAGTTCCCCTGGTAAACAGAACAGAAGATAACACATTGCAAACCTTGCAAATATCAGTAGTATTTGCTATGTGCAACTGCGTCAACTCCCACAGACTTCCCCCTCTCCCCACAAAGCACAGCACTTTGACTTCGGAGGCTGCGGTTGTCGTCACGTCTCCTACAATCAGCCAACATCAACGTCATTTAACCACAATCACAGACTTTCTCCGACCTTAACTGAGCAGATATTAACCGTAGCTGTGCCTGATCAGAAAACACTCACAACAGTCATTCAGGTCGTTCTGGAAGGAACCTTTAGGTGCAAGTACGAGTTTAGGTATGCTGCTGCTGTTTGTCCTAAGATGAGAGTAAACAATCGTGTTCTTCTTAAAAATCATTCCATAATTTGTCTGTACCAAACAACACTGCAATGCAGACATGATTATAATGTGAATCAGTCCTGATGGGATAACTGCAATTTCACATTGCTAAAAGGTGCAGTTGGTGCTCTAAATTTTTTTTTGTTTTTGCTTCTGTGTTTGAGGCGATACAGACAATGTGGCCAGTGATTACTTGGTGCTTGCACGTTAGCATTAACATAATCACACACTAACCTCTCATCATCCAGCTCTCCCTCCTTTCGGAGTACCAATTAGTAACCTATAACTGCCATTAAACTGCATTTTAAAGTGGAGTTGATTATCCAGTGGCCCAGGCTCGGCCAGCACATATTCTACTTATTTTTTTTCTCTCCACAAAGCTTCTCCAGCCACGAACGGAGGACATTAACTCAGAGGCAAAGGCAATCTCCCAGGCAGGTTACTGACAATATGCAGTATGTACCGCTGTCTAGGAGACAGCCCCTTCTGGATTCACGTCCCTCATGTCAGAAGATTTGAGGCTGGGGATAAACCGCCTCGGGAAATAAAACACTCTGGGGGCAAGAAAGGCACCGGTTGTGTTGAATGCACAAAAGCGTTTTGACGAAAAGGTTGATACAATACTTGGCTTGGGGCCTGGTATTGATACTGGAGTCACCCATGATTGCAAAATGCCACCGGAGGCTTCCAAGCAGATGAGCATGTTTTAATTGTCCTTCAGCACGCTAAAGAGCATCATCCAATTAAATGATTACATTATAATCCTCACAAGCCAAACTGCTGGCTGCACATATAGGTGATTCACACCAATCGCACGGCAGTAGTGAACAGGGACTTGCTTAGCCAACTCCGATTCAGTATAGCAGTTGATTATTTTGCCCTTCTGCTGCTTAATTCCCCGTCCTGGAGGTCTGCCAAACAGCTTTCTGGTTTTGGCTCCCTGACTCAAGACAGCGTTGGCCATGCTACTCAACAACATGACAAATCTTTCATTGTGGGAAAGTGGGAAGATTTTCAGCAGAGGATGAATATCTCTACATACATACATACATACACGTTAGAGTGGGCAGGAGTGATGACTTTAACTGCGCAGCTTTAAATCATCTCGTTTCCCAACATACGGACACGCTAGCAGCTCTGTGAGGCTGTAGCGCTCATTAAAAGATAAACAAATATATAAATTGGTAATTAAATATATAGATAGTAGATTTAACCTGATGGCGATGCTTGATGAAAATTCTTGGTAGAGCTGAAACTGGTATCAGTTGAGTAATCTATTGATGGAAAAATAATCTATTTCTGATAATAAAGTAAGTCTTTTTTTTTTTTTTTTAAAGAATATGTCAGATATTCCAATATTAGCTAATAATCAGAAGATCAATCAATAAGGAAAGTGATCTTTAGTTCCAGTCCTGATTCCAGGGGTCACCAAAGATCACAAAGACCAGAACTGTCTGCACTAAATGGCTTTTCTAATACATTTAATTGGTTGTTGAGACGTTTCACTCCAAATCACAAACGTCAACCAGCTGGTGTTGGAAGAGGAAAAGTCAGAGCGTCGACAAAGTGATCAGGATTCATGTCGGTACAAAATGTGGCAATCCATCTCGTAGATGTAGAGATATTTCAGTAGATACGCAAAAAAGTTTGACAAATATAAGAAAACATGCGTGGAAATATTGTCTAAAAAAATAAAAAATAAAAACTGGTTGAATTCCTTGATTAAATAGTTTGGATTGTGAGAAGGGTTTTTCTTTCATTCATCTTGACATCATTCCTTCAGGACAGGTGCAGTGTCGTAACCATGGCTCCAAAATTCTGAATCACCCTCAGCTGTATTTGTCACACTTTCACCGCCGATGTTGCTGTTCTCTCCTTTCCCACCGCGATTTCCAGTTTCCCTTGGCTACGGTTTTGTGCCCCCCTCTGGCATGGAGTGTGAATAATAGAAATACTCAGTGAAAAGAAGCTGGACGAGGATTGTGCTCCGGCAGCAGATGCAACAATATCACCTCTGTCGTTACAATGACAAAAAATCCTTGAACTTTTTGGATTCTGTGTCCGTGTATTAATGTTTGAATTTTTATGTTCTGTGGTTGATAATAAAGTGAAATTAATTGATGTCTTCCATAAACAAATGCAGATCAAAGTATTTAGGATTTTTGTCTGTTGGCGTGATATCTTTCCTTTGGAAGCCAATTGGACTTTCTTTCTTCTCTCTACAAATATATACACACATACATATATATATATATATTAATAAACAAATGACCACAAAACATTTATAAATAATGCATGAGTTGCAGATCACCTATGTTAAATTAAATAAGAAATTAAATGACATTCAAAAGGTTATGGTTCTTTTAAAATGAACTGTGCAAATATTCATGTGAATATATGTGCAAAAGCTATAGCGCTATACAGTATGTACTATAGATAATGTAAAACTAGGTACATAAGTATGATTATATATATATATATATATAAATATAAATATACAGTGTTAGAAAAGGTAGGCTTTATGTGCGATAGACGCGTTTAAAAAACTTACTTTTTGACACATCATCAATGATATGGAGCAACTGCAGTCACGTGACTCCACCACAGTAGTTTGAGTACAGTGTGTTAAATCACACTCCATCTGATGGAGGCGGGAATGAGGGAGATAATGAGTTATTTTGTCCCATGTGACTGAGGGTCACATGGGACGAACCCCTGCTGGGGGCTGGGAGGACTGGAACCTATAAGCCAGCGTGTGTTGGGCGAAAGGCGGGGACACAGACAGGTCGCCAGTCCCTCATGGGGAACACTGTAGTCATTAGTAGAAAAAGTAATCCCGTTACTGCCACCAGCCAACAGGACTCACTAGCAGACTGATGCGCACAGCTATTGGACGCAGCGAGGGTTGGACTGCAGCACCCCGCCGCCTGTTATTCAAACGCAGGCAGCGCGTCCGGCCAGTCGCTCCTCGCCGCGCGCTGGATATGGATCAGGACGCAGCGCGCCTCCCTGCTGTCTCCCGCGGACAGGCTGCGCTCTGCGGCGCATAAAGAGGTGCCCAAATGAACCGCCGCCCTCCCGGCTCCTCCGGCGTGCAATGGCTTAACAGGAGAGACATGAGTGTCCGGACGGAGGACAGCATCACCTTGTGCCAAAGGGCTCTCCAAATCGTTACGGAACTTTGTCTCACGGGACACGTAGACCGGGAGAAATGTTCGGATATATTTCCCCTGGAGAGCAACATACCAGGTAAAGGACACGCAGGTAAATGGAATAAAGTCTTTATTTTATTTCCCTCATTCCTGAAATTAATGACTTTCCTCTGTTCCCCTCAATTAAAGAGATTAGTAGATGCAGCGTTTGGATAAAAAACGCGAACCTACACTTCCGCTCTCTCCTGTTAAAACTTTATTACATTGCTCACTTCAATGTGTTTGTACGTGTTGAACTGTTACGAAAGTGTTCCTCCACCTGTTACGCATCTTGCTGCAGCTCAGTCCAGACTGATGGAACAGCAACAGGTGGACAATAGACTGAGGTGGCAGTCTGACTGAAGAAATGATCTGCCTCTTTCTTTCTCTCCCTTTTCTCTCCTTTTTCTTTTCATTTTGCAATCTGGTGAATTTATACAGAGTCAGTTTAATTAATGTGTGGGAGCCTGCTGTTACAGTCTGCATTAAGCCTCATTGATACACAGAGCAAACTTTACCTTTAAATATCAGTAAGGACATGAAATGTCAGGAGCAGATGGGAGCACCAAATGTTTTTTTTTCCCCTCTTCAGTCAGTGAACATGTGTTTCTCTTGATGCTGTGGTTTTATATGACTTTATATTGTCCTGCTTTATCAAACAGGCGCATATGCTGCCCCCTCTTTCTTACAGCTTGCTCTCTCTCCTTTTTTCTCTTTCTCCCTTGCATGTTTGTCTGTCATATTTTGTCCTTCGCTTGCTTCTCCTTTCCTTTATGTGTCTCCCTCTCTGTCCTCCTCTATTGGTCTCTCCATGGTTACATGTAGACATCTCTATTAGTCTCCTTGCTGTGGTCGTGGGTTTCTGTGGCCTCGCCCTGTTGGTAGTCTCTCTCTTTGTCTTTTGGAAGCTGTGCTGGCCCATTTGGAGGAGCAAGGCTCTGTCAGCCCACGCTGAAAATGGTCTCCATGTGGGTTTCCCCGAGGCACCTCCACCCAGCTCCCCGCCCATCACCGAGTGTAAAGCGGCGGAGGTGGAGAAGAAGTACCCGCTGGAAGTGAAGGTGAACGGACGGAGCTCCGTCAAGCTCCTGGAGGCGGCCATGAAGATCAGCCAGACGTCTCCGGACATCCCTGCCGAGGTGCAAACAGCCCTGAGGGAGAAGCTCAGCCAGCAGGCTAAGATCCAGAGGCAGACCACAGAACCAACCTCCTCCTCCAGGTACCCTACATGAACTCACTGCAGTCACAACCCCTCCCTGTCTGCCCCTGCACTGAGGACATAATAACAATGTCATGCAACAGCACTGACAGACAAGTATCCGCTGCTTACAATTACAGTAAATAATGGCAGCATTTTTCAACCCACTTCGGTTTGTTTTCCCCCTTCCATGCAAAATAGGGAACAAAACTGATGCCTGCATAATGTCAGTTCGTGACAGTGTGGCCACTGTCCTCGAGGTGGTTTGGCACATGTCATGTAGAGCATCAGGGACTGGCTGGTGACCTTGAAACGCTGTTGTACATGTTGAATTTTGTGTCTCACTGTCTAACCAGAGAGAGAGAGAGAGAGAGACAAAAAAACCCCACCTCCTGCAGGCTCATCAGCAAATCCCCCTGCTTCAGTTCGAACCCTATGATCAATTGTACGTGTGAGTGAAGCTGCTATGGTAACGGCGGGAAGCAACCACAGTAATTAAACAATCAGCTCTTGCTCCTCTTTGTTTTCCAGCACTGTGTTTAAACTAGAACGTCCATAATTAGCAGTGCTGTGGGGTGGGAGCTGTCATGGTGGAAGACTGGTTTTCTGGTGAGACGCATCAGGCAGCTGCGCTCAGTTTCTCAGAAGGAGCCGATATTGACAGTTGCTTTGGTTTGTCGTTAGGCCCGTTAATTAAATTATATTGAGTCCAACATCTTCATGAATTACACACCCACCAGGGATGCAGAAAGGCCAGGTTAAAGATCGCATTGCCTACTTTCTCAATCCCTCCACCTACTCTTTTTTTATCGATTATTTCCTTTTTGACTGGGGAAAAAAACAAACACCTTAGTCTCAGCTGAAGCCCAAATAATACGTAACGTCTCATAGCTTAATGACGCTACAACAGTAAAGTAGAGAAGCCCGGTAGAGCTGCGATTTAAGATTATTTCCGTTATCGATTAATCGTTTGGTAGAAAATGTCAGAAAGTAGTGAAAAACATAATTACTTAGAGCCCAAGGTGACATGTTCATATAGCAGTCAACTGTGTTTGTGTGTGTATGTGTGTGTGTGTGTGTGTGTGTGTGTGTGACGAATTAAAAGGAAAAAACTGATTGATTGGAGAAATGTTACAAAAACAGATTCTTCCACGCAGGTTCAGTGCATGGTTAGAAAACATCCCATCATGCTCTGTCACATGTTTAAAAATGCTGAGCAGGTCCAGCTGATTCTGATTTCGTATCAAGATTGCAAGAGGAGGCTAATTGTTGGAGCACTGATGGCAGGAGCTTCAGTCACAAAGATGCTCAACGGACTCATGTTTCAATAGCACAGTGACTAAAGTGACATGTGCATTTATATCTGTGGGAAAAGCATCAGTAAATAGGGTCAGGAATTGATGACTATGGCGGCATTTTGCTGCCATAGTTTGGGTCCACTTGTCCCCACAGAGGGAAGGGCCACTGCACAACATTACAAAGTTGTTGTGGAGTGGAGTGGATCATGGCGAATGAATTACCGGGAGAAGGAGAAGGAGCAGTCTTCTTCCGTCACTGCCACACCATGTGGAGTTTTGAATGGCTGGTTTCCTTGTGACATCACAAAGTTACTGAAGTCCTAACGGCTCGTATTAAGGCTCAGTTTCTGAATACAGGCCGTGTACATTCCTCTGTGGACTGAGCGCTTTGATACTGTCACATTATTAATATAGAACCAAGACCTGCTTTATGATCAAACAACATATACATCTCACTTTCTACAATATGGGACCTTTAATTTGTTTAACCTGTCTGTGTATATTTTATGTGTGTGTGTGATTGTGTGTGTGTGTTAAAAGTTGACAACACAATTATAAACCATGAGCAGTAAAGCAAAGAGCTGCTGCTAATGTTAGTTAGTGTCCAGTATGTTTTCATTGTATTTCAGGTCATTTTTCCCTTTTCCCCCCTCGAGGTTTGTGCCGCCTTCTAAGCTGTTTACAATACTTGAGTGCACTATTTAATTTCCAAGCTGTGCTTCCTGTGCTATATCATTTGTGCCATGGCTGTCAGATCGCCGTGATTGTCTTACTTGTCAGAAAGGAGGAGGGCCAGTTGCTAGGTGACAAGATTGGCAGTTCGAACACAACCGTGGTTTTTCTCAAAAGATGTCAACCTTACAGAAATTTGCAGCATTCAGGTAATTTATTATTTTTTTTATAAGAGCTCAAGTTTGAATGCTGGAGATTTTTTCTTTTAAAAGGAAAGCTTTGGTCAGTGGTGACAAAAATGAAAGTCTTTCACTTTAATATTTTTCAGATAAGCCACTTTTCAAGGCTCAGAGGACAATGTATGTGCATCACGTGATGTGGCTAGGTCATTTTTAGCATTTAAAGCTATTGCTTGTCAACATGCATCAAGCAAACTGAAAGATATGCCTCAAAGAGTCATCACTGGTAAGTGTTGTCTTGAGACTGACCCATAGTGGGAGCTACAGCTACGTCAGGTGAATATCAGGTGGTTGTTCTGCACTAGATTTTTGTGCAAATCAATGTGAAAATCAAAGACGGACTGAAAACCTTTCTGAGCTACTCTACAAGACTGTAGTATGTAAAGCATGTTCCATGAACTCCACATTATTATGCATCATGCTTTTCTGATGTACCCTCTCCTGACAAACCATTAGCGCCCACCGTCACAAAGCCACTCATGCATAAAACTGACACTTGAGACATTTACCAGATGCCCTCTACCCTTTTCAACAGGCACAATTCATTCCGGCGCCACCTGCCTCGTCAGATGAATGTCACCAGTGTTGACTTCAGCATGGACACAGTGCCTCTCCGCCAGTCTTCTACGGCGAGCATCGGAAGAATAAAACCTGAACTGTACAAGCAGAAGTCTGTGGACTCGGAGGGCGAGGCCAAAGAGCCCGTGGAGACTTGTGGGAAGCTGAGCTTCTCGTTGCGTTACGACTACGAGGAGCAGGCTTTGGTGGTGAGAATCCTCAAGGCCTTAGACCTGCCCGCCAAGGACTTCACGGGCACCTCAGACCCATACGTGAAGATCTACTTGCTGCCAGAGAGGAAGAAGAAGTTCCAGACACGTGTCCACCGCAAGAATCTGAACCCCATGTTTGACGAGACCTTCTGTTTCCCCGTGGTGTACGATGAGCTTTGCAACCGCAAGCTACACTTCAGCGTCTACGACTTTGACCGCTTCACCAGCCACGATATGATTGGCGAGGTGGTGGTGGACAACCTCTTTGAACTCTCTGATCTTTCCAGGGAGGCGGTGGTGTGGAAGGATATCCACGCAGCGACGACGGTGAGTTGGCGTTCACACCAAACACACTGTTGCCATGACATGACATTGAAGACATGTTGCACCAAACGTCTGTCTCATCACTGAGGAGAAAACACAGAGTGAAAGGGAACTTCTTCTGTTTTTTTTTGTTTTTTTTGGAAAGGTCTAAACAAACACAAGTATTGCAATGAGTCATTTCTAGGAGCCTGAGAGAATTCATCAACACTGGTCCACAAAAAAAAATCGCAGGTGGAACACATTGCATAATTCAAATGCTTTGGGAAATGCATTTCATCAGCCAAACACCCACACACACTTTCCAGAAACTGCTGGGTATTTTACAGACGTAAATATAGCAACAGAGAGTAAAATGATCCAGTCATTAAATATATACACTAACTCCTAAAGTAATTAAACAAACAGGGTATACAGTGTGAGCACCATGCATATCGTATGTCCTCCTAACAACTCTCTTAAAATAATTTAGGCCAGAATGCGTTTCACTCCTACATTAACACTTATCACAGTTTCCTCAAGAGCCTCAGCTTTATTTATGAATGTTTTCAGTGTGATAAACATTGAGCCATTGTTTTCAGGTTCACATTAGCCTCTAAGATATATTAATAGCAGCAGAAGAACTACAGTATATTCAGTCTTGCATACAAACTGACTAGATATGAATCTCTATTTCCTCAGTTGAGTTCGATGGTGGTTAATTTATTGGTTTTCTCTGACAAAGGCTGAGTTTTTATACTAGGTTGTTTCTTAAAAAGCACTTGGAATTTGGATCCAAAGTTTATATTGTTATTCTGTTAATTTACAAAATAACAACAGATTGCTGCTATTGTTGACTGAATCAATGATTTTTGCCTGTTTATCTCGTTAGGTCCCCGACTTGAAGCGTTGGAAAGAGATAATAATGCAAAGTCACAGTCTGCTGCGCCGTCTGCACTCAGTACATGCAAGATGAAGTCTGCTACAGTATGCTAACATGCTCACGAGCCAGAGTTCAGGCTATGAGCATATAATGGGCCACACTCCACCAAAGATATAATGTTTCCTCATGTTGAAAACTTGTTTATAGATTTCACACAGGACCTTTTCAAGGATTTTTGAACATTTCCACTGTTTTGATCCCGAACTACTGCGAAAGGCAGTGAACGCATCACTGTCTATCACCATGATGCACCACAATCTGCATCTTTGAATGCAGATTAAAGAATACCACAATGAGCCTGATGCGTGCTAATCAGTACCTGAGTGTATATAATATTGACATGGACAGGATCGAGTCCTAATGCAAATGAAATGTGTCGTCAGTTGAGAGTTAAATGTGTTTTTAAGGACTGAAGTTAGTCAACAGAAAATCTCTTAAGGCATTCATTGGCTTTGCTTGTGTGGTCTAATATGAAGATTATATTTACTTCCTCAAACTGCAGGCCAGCGATTAACTGCCCCTGTGTGGATAAACCTGAGGGCGGCTTCAGTTACTTTGCAGACTTGTACTCGAGATCAAGGTGTCGGATGTATCGTTCTTGAAGTGTGCATGTGTAAAAAAAGCTTTGGTTTGTGGGCAGAAGTGGGTCAGTCCAATGCAGATTTGACTGGAAAACAACCGTTCATATATGACTGTAGTTATACAGACGACGATAACATGAAATGTCACAAGTACAAACCAAAGTCTTTGGATAAAACTTTGCTCAACTGCTGAGAAAATTAAAGAAAATTAAGTTTTCTTCTTCACTTGAATAGAAAAGTTTAGTTTATTTATGATCTTCCTCCATAAACTAGGACAAGCTCGTTACCTCTGAGTACTTTATAGTTTTAATAGACATGGTAGTAGCGACACTAACGCTCGCTTTGCTAGCAAAATAGCTAGCTCGTAAATAAAGCCAAAAACAAGTTGAGCTGAGCTGACTAATGCCTGATAGTTAAGTTTTCATGCCTGTAATGCAATGACAGAGATAAATAGCAAAATGCCTGCCATGCTGTGCTAATGAAAATGTTCAGCACCAGTTGATAAAATACAGCCTCCTGTATTTACCGCTTTGGTATTATGATTCACAGAACGTGTTCAACGCATGTAAAAATGGATGAAATGCATTCTGTTGTCTCCCTCTGTCCTGCAGGAGAGTGTCGACCTGGGAGAGATCATGTACTCGTTGTGCTACCTCCCCACAGCAGGGAGAATGACCCTAACAGTCATCAAATGCAGAAACCTCAAAGCCATGGACATCACAGGCTCTTCAGGTAACCCGACGGCAAATAAGATGCGGCTGACATCAAAAGCTCAAACTGAGCCATAAATCAAACTTAGTTGAAAAGAGGCAGCAGGTGGCCTCTTAGGATGGAAATGGGAAAGAGACATAGGGAGTTCACTGAGAACAAATTATCCCAAGTATTAGCTTCTGTCAGAATAGTGCTGCTCCTAGCGTTAAAGGAAAAGGTTTGGATTCTGCACACCTGACAGACAGGTGTGTTGCACATTTAACAGCCATTCCCTTAGCATCTGTTCTTAGATTCTGTTTAAATCATCCCATCGAACTACAGTGTGAACATATGTACGAATGAACGAACCTTTATGTGACAGCGAGTGTCTCTCTCAGATCCATATGTGAAGGTTTACCTGATCTGTGACGGACGGCGGTTGAAGAAGCGAAAAACAACAACCAAGAAAAGCACACTAAACCCAGTGTACAACGAGGCCATCATCTTCGACATCCCCCCGGAGAACGTCGAACAAGTCAGTTTGTCCATCATGGTGATGGATTACGATCGGTGAGTCACTGCAGTATATATCTGCCCCTCTGAGTGACTCGTTGGACTCTTATCGTTTCCTGTTTTTTACCCCGTCTATAGACGTCTCCCCTTCGTTCCCAATCACTCCGTCTGTTTGTTCCCCTCGTGTTCTCTGTGGATTTACCTCCTGCGTTGGATTATCTCTTTTGTTCCTGGTTCAAGTCTTTACTTTGCCTCATGTTTTGTTTTGTTTTTTTCCCTGTGTCTCGTTAAAGAGTTACTTCATTCATCCAGCTTGCCTCCGTATGTGTCTGTGTTTTATGTGTCTTACTAACTACGTTCTTTCTGCCGTAAACTATCAACAGGAAACAAGGTTTAAGATTTTGGGAGTTAACCTTTGATCAACAAGAGCTCTCGACACAGAAACTGACAAACACAACTAATTAGAGTTCTTTTATAAGGGGTTTGTTATTTTTGTTTTTTATTGGTTCAGACTTGACCTTGACGATCTTCCAGCTTCTTTTCATTACATTATTTTTAATCGAAAACTGGTGAAATATTTATCTATTTATCTATTTATCAGTACAGGCATTACGTTTGTGTGTCTACTAGAAGCGTTACTATGTGCCAACGTGTGTGTTTTGCTACTAACAGGGTTGGACACAATGAGGTGATTGGTGTGTGTCGTGCCGGGCCAGATGCTGAGGGCCTTGGACGAGATCACTGGAACGAAATGTTGGCTTATCCACGGAAGCCCATCACACACTGGCATGCTCTGGGAGAGGTACATTCATGTTGTCTTCTTCTACACCTCACTCTGTTGTCCCCCCCCCCCAGTCTCCAAAAGAACTCATATTTACAGAGCTTTCTACAAGCTCCTGAATGTGACAATGACCAGAAAAGACGCTCCACTATATAGTGTAAAGTATCAGCTCTGTCTATTTGAACTTTCCCCTCGTTTCCTTTATGTATATTACATTACATGCATTTTACATATTACATTACAAGGTCCTTCGGTGGATTCGGTTTTTTAAAAATAAGAAAACCAATGTACCTGTCTTTATTTTGGGTGTTAGAAAACACTTGATAATCAGATGAATAAATGTATAAATGCATGTAATGAAAAAATTGAGGTGAAAATCAAATAGTACAAATTTAATTTACAGTGCAAACAGTGTTTTTCCATTTATATTTTTACCATTTTGAGGGAGCGTGGACGACCTGCAACGTAAAAAGGCAGCTGATTTTTCTCTCGACTTACTGTTTCTGGAAATATTCTCATCTTCACTTGCAGAAAGAGCAAATCTGATACATGGGGGCATACAAATCCAGGATTAAGAACTTTAATTCGATCTACTCCTTCTTAAAAGTCAGGGTTAAGGGATAATTTGAGATTTTGGCAAATTTATGAGATGTCTCGTCCAAAGTCAGATGAGAAGATCAACATTAATTTTTCATCTGTGTGAGTTGAATACAGAGCAGGAAACAGCGAATCAAAGTCGCTCTCCAACAGCTCCAACAGTGTCTCACTCGACATGTTGCATGTGTGTGTTTAACATGTAGAAATACAGACATACAGTGGTTTGATTGGGCAACATGCACACAGGAGCTTTTTCTAGATCAACCACTCAGCATCTCAGAGATCCTCTGCTCGTAGAGAAGTTGCAAACTTCTGCAAAAATAGCCGACTCTTGGACAAACTGGTGGATTTATTTGCTAGCTAATAAGATACCATGTGTAACTGGGACAATATTACACACTTTTATTTGATAGAGGCTAAGTGTTTCACTCCAGTTAATGTAATTTCATATTTTACATGTTATCAATGTTTTTTCCTCTTTTGCCACACCCACTCCCCACCTGACGAATAGGAAAATACAGGTGATTACCCATTTTCAGTGGTAAAACTACTTTATGCTTTGGTAAAAAAAGAAAAAACTGTGATCATAGGCAATATAAAAAAAAGCATCCTGTGTAGCTCCTTCAAAACAACGTGACATTTGAAAAATGAGCTTGGTTTATTATTGTTATTACTCTTACGGATTTATTCTTGGATCTACTATTCTGGATCTATTCTTGGAGATGCTTTGTGCTGTGGGAAAGTAACAGTAAATGACACTCCAGGTGCATCGTCTGAGAGGCAGCAGTTGCCCTGACCAACAAAAGAGCAGGAGACGTGTCCCCTAATGCGAACACACCAGTGCAGGATCACGTGTTAAGGTCTCGAGACTGAGATTGTGTATTTAGTTTTACACTGGTGAACATATATTGTACAGGTGGACAGCGCCAACGTGGATTATTCCCACTTCTCTGTGTAACTACCAGGCGCAAGAAAAGGCTTTGCTATAGCCAGTGTTTCAGGTTTTGCTCCTCACATTAAGCTTATAACTGACCATCCTAGATGCCGTACGCTGCTCATGCGATCTGACCTAGCTGGGCTAAAATAACCTATTTGCCCATGATCACAGTGCGTCCTCAGGACTAGAGAAATACCTGCTTTAGTTCCCCAAAACAGATGGCCTCTATAAATAAAGCTTTGTATTTTGTGACGTCTTACCTTGCAGTGGCCTGGAAGAGCGGCAAGCTTTGAGAGTCAAGGTTCGTGTCCTTCGCCCAAACCTCCGCAGACACCCTGATGATCGCAGGTAGAGTGACGACATCGCCTCTGTGAGAAAACAGACGTTTGTTTAGAGTCGCTGACGAGTCGTGTTGCCTATGAGTCTCTTGTCGAGCATGTCGTATGAAAACTGAATCCATTCCGACACGTTTTCTTATGTGTTTATGAAAACAATGTTGTGCTGAAATTGTTTTTATTCATTCGTTCGAACAACGCGCTCTACAGAGCTGGCTATGCACAGCAGTAACTGTCATTCAATTCCAGAGTTTGTTTCTCATACATTTGCTTTGAAATTCTCAAAAAAGGCTTTATTTGCCAAACATTTCCATAGACCACATGAATGGTAGGCCTGACTGCAAGAAGTCCTCAGTGATTCACTCGCAGCTGTATCAACCTTTTCAATATTTTGAGCAACGTTTTTCTGGCCCGAGAGCTCTTTAGTGACGTTAGCATTTTACTTTGAAATGGCACAAAGTTAAAGGGCTATGCTGCTCAGTGCCGTGAAACATTTACTTGAAAGAAAAAAAATCAGTCAGTCAATAGATCCAGCGAGTCGTGATCCAGCTGTTTTGGCTGAAGAATGCAGTTAATTGAGCGTCTAACAAAAGGGCTGGATAAATTTCTCAGAAAAATCATCGGTCACAACTGTCACGGACGTGTGAAACCGGCCATTAACCAGCCATCGTCACCTGCAGATATTAGGAAAAAAATCGACAGCTCTCTCAGATTTAGAGAAACTATAGCAGATACATGTAGCAGACATTTGTACAGAGACATGAACAACACTAAAATCAAAGTGCGTTTGAATGAATTTGTTCCCGAAATCCCGGCAAAGACTTTAAAAAATAACAATTTCATATTTATTTTTGTACAGCAGATCAATTTCAGCGAATAACTGCAAACTGAACAAGCAACATATGGGTATTAGTTACTCATCCTCTTATTAAACCAACTGAATATAATTAAACTGTTGTTCGCACTGCAAATGTCCCTCATGTTGCAACTAAAAAGTGAAATAATGCTAATGAACAACGGTCTGTTGGTTGATGTTTTGACTCCACATTTTACTGTAAGAAATTATTTATAAAAAAGGAAAATGGAATCGTCTTCATTAGGAGATATTAATACAGTAACTAACAATGTTCTGAATATGTGGGGACACTGCATGTGCCAGTGGTTCAGAAAACAGTATCCAACTGGTAATTAAAGCCTTCAGTCCACAGTGAGTCTTCGCTAAACCCCTCCCCTGAACAGTGATTGTCCAATCATAGCTTAGCAGCATTAACTAGGAACAGAAGGCCTGTCAAGCTTCAGTTTCAAGCTTCGGCTCCAAAGTGAAAAATAAAAGACCAAAAGCGTAAAGGGATGGATTAAACTGTGTGTGCTTTAACGTAAGCTAAAAATGTTAGCATGTCTAGCTAACTAGCTTACTACCTGCAGTAGTAACCAAACCAAGCCTTACTTCCAAGGCCAAGATGAATCCCAGTGGATTCTGGTCCTGAAGCTACAACAGTATATTCAAGTGTCATTAGAGGCTCTGTCCTGCTGCATTGGATTTGAATGACTTTACACTCAGCCAACCACAGCCCGACTTATTATCCAGGATAGCATTACATTTTCACAATTAACACAGTGATTACTCCTCATCCTAGAATCATTTCCTTGTGCAACGTTAAAAGTGAAACATACAGTTTGAAAATATGAAAAATAAAGGAGATGATTATGCATGTGAACGGGATCATGCTATGATTTTTTTTAAAAATCTACTTGTAAGGATGCTGACTTCGTTTTTTGCTCAGGACGTGGTGCTTTAGCCTCAGTCTTTAGCATCACATCGTGCAAGTGCATATTTAAGTCCCGCCTTATATTGTTGTAATTTTAAATCGCAGTTTCAGCTGGAAACATTTTTGTTTTAGTTTTTTTTTAAATCATCAGCAGACAGCATTTTCAACCAACTTGTGAAGACGGCATTAGCTTAATTAGCTAGCTAGTTACAGCTGATAAACAGTTTGTCATTTCAGGCAAAGTAAATCAACATTTCACGGTTAAATATGAGACGCCTGCTTTTTGTCAATCTGTCTGAGATCAAGGACTCGAACGGTTAATTGGTCAAACAACGAACGGTCAAACAGTAATACCGATGCTAATCAAAAAAAAAAAAAAGAAAAACATGGCAGAAAAAAATCTTTACTGTACAACTTGTCCTCACCTGTTAGAAATTCAGGGAAATATTATCCATGAAAGGAGAAGCTACAATCACACTCAAACATTTGCAAATATGTAAGTTTTTGTTTTGTTTTTTTTTTTACATGAAGCCATATGAAATTAAGTTCAGTGCATCTAACAGAGAACACTGACTCAGCTTCTCCTTCTTTCTGAGTAATAAGAAACCAACATAGCAAATAGAAAAAGGCTATGTACTGTTAATCTTACTTGCACATGCATATAATGATGCTTTCCCCCCCCTGTGCTGCCCTTAATATTAAATATTTTTACTTGTAGCATGTTTGTCGCCACTTTCAAAATACACTTACTGAGGGAAAATGTAAGCAATGGATATGTTAGAGTATTTCAAATTCCAAACTTTGTGTTTACATTTGTATATATATATACACACACACTTGTCGATGGCACTGTTTATATATATTGAAAAGTGAAATTTAAGAAGTTGTCGTACACTTATGGAGATAGAGACATCACGGTGTATTTCTATTGTTTGGTGATAATTTGAACAGCTCAGACTTGTAATCGAGTGAAATTTATACACGTTCTGTAATAGTTGTGAACAATTAGTCAAACTGGGAAACCAAGTGAAGCCAACTCTACCTTATCAAGTTATTCCATGTTTAGGAGTTTAGAGCTTTGAGCTGTAATTGTTTGCATATTGGTTGAATCTATATTGAGCAAGAACAACTGCAACTACTGTCATGATGTGTACAGTTTGTGATAACTTTTGTAACGATTTAAAGTAAACATTTGGGATATAATTTATTGTATCTGTTTCATATGTATTTTAACAAAATAAAAATAAAAAATGAAGAGTCAGAGTACGTCTCTCTTTTGTCCAGGAAGGCACAAATCTGGTTTTCATCAAACTATTTAAGGTACAATTCAGCGACAGTATGCACCATTGGTAAATTCATATTGTTGTAAGAGTTTCATCTGTCCTTTTTAAAAGCTCAAACACTGCGTTCTCTGTCTATATTCAAATTTAAATGGATATTTATAATTTAACTAGGCAGTAAACATTGAGTAACAAGGTATTATTATTATAAGAAATAAAGATTATTCTCCTTCAACAGCAACATATTACATGGGTCGTACATGCAACACACTGTGCAGTGTCCTGTCATCTGATTGGCCCCTTAAACTCATGGACGTATCACTCAACCAGGTCCTTCTGGTTTGTTGAAGTGAGATGAAGACATGTCAGTGCAAGTTGGAAATGTTTTAACTTGAGTGACAAATTCACAATTATCCCAAAACTATTCAACTCCCCTCCTAGAAGAGAGAGAGAAAAAAAAAACCTGTAAGTCCATGGAAAGCTTGAAAAACAGTCAGCACTGTAGCACACACACGTATTAAGATACACTCCCCCCCTACACACACACACACACACACACACACACACACACACACACACGCACAGGATCAGTGTGTGTTGTTGGCTGGCTAAAGCTAACATCTGAACTGTTGCTACATTGGCTCTTTGTGGCGAAAACACACCGGCTACAGAAACACTCCGCTGTTCGAAATCGAAGAAAATAAAGCAGAGGCGAAAAATTCACTTCACAAACCTGCGAGTGATAACAATGAGCCACCAGGCTGAGCTCTTCACACCTGGCTCTTACACACTGGCCAGACATTATCAATCAATACACAGTCAGTTTAATTATGGGTCTGTCACACACACACACACACACACACACACACACACACACACACACTAGGTTTCTCTTGTGCTGCTGCTTTCTTCAAGTGTTGTGTAATGCAGCCTATTGTACGTGGTTTCTCAACTTGCTGTCAAGACAATAATAAGAAGTGTTGTCTCAATTTAAAATGGCATAATTATTCAGATCAATGCGGCTTTGACTCCTTCAGACTGCTGAACAGCATGACGTGAAATAGAAGTAGAAAGGGAACATTCCTTGTTTGCTTTTCCCCGCGAATGTAGAGCAGTGTTTCATTTTCATCGTCACTACAAATATAGCAGCATTTAAAAGTGGGATAATACTTATTTGTCTCCGAGGTTGGCCGGCCGCCTCCTTACAACACTTTCCAACACTCAGCAAATAATAAGTGTTACATAACCACTCAAGGCCCTGAGTTGGAGCCTTTGTGCTTGTAAAACCTTTAAGACAAAATAAAAAGCCTGGCAGATAGATGGTTCCTTCTTTCTCATCCGGCGTCCGTTTGATGGTGAAACATGAAGAGAACATTTTGATCTCACGAAGCGTGACATGCAGCTCAACTTCCTTTTGATCCGCGATATTGGATAGAAACAGACAAACAAAAAAAAAGAAAAGGGGGGGGGGGGGTTCATTAGTTTCCTTGGCAATGAAAGCTGCCCACTCTCTGAACGCTTAAACCCATATTTAGAGTGGAGTTGTATCTTTAGTTAGCAAGAGCTAATAGCTCCATGTGGTGATGCATGTAATTAACGCTTTGTCATTTCCTGAATGCTTATTTGTGCTGGATATTTAACACTGCTGCATGAAGACTCGGGGGGGGGGGGGGGGGGTCGGACTGGCCTCGTGTCTAGCGTCAACAATGCACCTGCAGGATTAGTCATTATTTGGGGGCAAATTACTCATGCCAGTTTTAAGTTGTCAACACGGAAGATGCAACATAAAGATGGAGAGCTTCTTTCAACATGCACTCTTTGAAGAGGTGCCCTGTTTTGAATAATGGCACCTTGAAATCTTTAATTATCCATTACTGGCTTATCAAAGAGCCACAGTAATGCCAGTATGATTAAAAACTTCTTTTTCCTTCTTCTTATTTTATCAAAAACATTCA